ACAAGCATCAATGGGCGGGCAGTTGCTGTCCTGGAAGACTACTGGAAATAGAGTTACCGCTAAGTCCTAACTCTGAATTTCCCATAACGTCTTCCAGGGCAGCATCACGAGAGGATAACCAAGAACTTACCCATTAGGGCGGGACCACAGCTTGTAGTACCTTCCTGCCGAATGCCTGAACTCCTGCAGTACTGAGATCTAGGCGATAATGCTTTGCGAAGGTGGAGAAACTTGACCATGTTGCCGCCTTACAAATCTGTTCCGGTGTAGCACCAGCTCGTTCAGCTAAAGCTCTAGTTAAATGTGCCGTCACCAAAGATGGAGGAGGAACATTTAACACTCCACCTAGCTAAGGAGGACCTAGAAACCTGCTTCCCCTTGGACCTACCTGAGAACAATACAAACAGTGAGCCAGATCTCCGAAATTCCCTGGAAATCTTCAAGTACTGGAGCAAACAACGTCTGACATCCAAACAGTTGAACCCTGATTCCCTGCTACCTACTGGCTTGGGACAGAATGTAGGTAGAATGATCTCCTGCACCCTGTTGCACCTTGAAGCGACCTTTGGTAGAAAAGCCGGGTCCGTCCTAAGGACAACCCGATCCTCAAAGATAGACAGAACGGTTCCTTAATGGATAGGGCCTGGAGCTCACTTACTCTACGGGCTGAAGTAATAGCTTCCAGAAACACTGTTTTCAAGGTAAGGTTTCTAAGCGAGACGTCATCCAAGGGCTCGAAGGGAGCGGCTGTGAGAACCTGCAATACTGTAGACAAATTCCATTGGGGAACCGAACGGACCACCAATGGTCTAAGCCTTTCAAGGGCCTTGAAGAACCTAGCTATAAGCTGATCCTTAGCTAGTGACACCCTCAGAAAAACGCTGAGTGCTGATACCTGAACCCTCAGGGTACTAACTGCCAGCCCCATATCAGCCCCCTGTTGCAGAAAATCTAAAATGGCTGGGACTGCATAATCTCGATGATTACGGAGCCTCCATGAGCTGAACGTCTTCCATACTTTCCTGTATATCCGTCTTGTTACCGGTTTACGACTGAACAAAAGCGTATTGATCACACCCGTGGACAGACCCTTGGCCCAAATGTCTTCCTCAGATAAAAAGCTGTTAATTTGAACCTGAGGACCTGCGGATGCCGCACTGGTCCCTGCGAGATCAGATCTGGTCTGTCTGGCAGGATCCAAGGTGAGCGATCCGTGAGTGAAAGTAATAGGGTAATCCAGGCTCTCTTCGGCCAATATGGTGCAATCAATATTAGTTCCGTCTCTCCTAACCTGAATTTCTGAAGGACTCTTGGTATCAGATGCAACGGGGGAAATGCGCAGCATAGGGGGAAGTCCCATGGGTTTGACAGGGCATCCACAGCCAGAGCGGAATCCCCCTGCTGGAGGGAAAAAACTGCCTCAGCTTTGTATTGTCCTGAGTGGCAAAAAGATCCACTACAGGAAGACCCCATGTCTCTGATATTAGTGAAAATACTTCCTGGTTCAGGACCCATTCGTCCTGCAGTATCTGATGTTGACTCAGATAGTCTGCCAGGAGGTTGTGGGTACCTTTCAGGTGTACCGCAAACAGGGACGTCAGATTCACTTCCGCCCAGGAAAATATTCCTTTGGCTAGAACCTGAAGTGGCCAACTCATTGTGCCCCCCTGCTTGTTCAGATAAATCACCGCCGTGATGTTGTCTGACAGAACCAACAGATTGTGTCCCTTCAATGTGTTGTGAAAAAACCTGATCGCATTCGCAGTATAGGGATATGGAGATAGGCATCTCTTAAATCCAGAGACGCCATGTATTCTCCCGGCTGCAGGATGTTTTTTATAGAAAAGATTGACTCCATCCTGAACCTCTTGTACTTTATGACCACGTTCAGGGGCTTCAAATTTAGTATCAACTGATACTGGCCAGAAGGTTTTAATACCAAAAAAAGTGAGAGTAAAACCCCCTTTGTTCTTCCAGAGTCGGAACTCTGGAAATCACTCTGGTCCACTAGATCTCCCAGCAAGAGTGACAACGCCCTTGCCTTTTCTTCGTGCCGCGGGAGGTGCATGACTAGGAACCTTGTGGGAGGAATACCGCTAACCTTCAGCTTGTAACCCTCCCTGATCAGGCCTAGTATGAACTGGTTGGAGGTAATCTTTGACCACTGAGGGAAGAATTCCTCCTACCTTCCTCCCACTGGAAGAAGATAGTCATTGGAGCTTTGGCTGAGGCTGGGAGGGTGTGTTAAACAGAATCCACCCTCTTCCTCTACCTTTCTGACCCGTCCAATGCTTCTTGGGTTTGTCCCCTTTGTTTTCCTGAGACCTACCCTTCTGGTTCTGAATAAATTTCCAAAAAGGCTTTTTCTTCTTTTCAGGAAAAGCCTTTTTCTTGTCAGCCGTTCTCTCTATAATATTCTCTAACTCTGCCCCAAAAAGCAAGTCACCTGAAAAGTGGAGATTACATAACCTCAGCTTATAGGCGGCATCTCCCTCCCATGCTTTTAACCACAGGGCCATGCGGGAAGAGTTAATAAGAGCTGATGATCTTGCAGTCATCCGCACAGATTCTGCCGATGCGTCTGCGATATAACCTACCGCCTTGAAGAGCACAGGTAGTGACTCCAAGAGTTGTGCTCTCGGGGTACCTGCCAGCAGATGCGTTCTAAATTGCGAGAGCCAAAACTCCAAGTTCCTGGCCACGCATGTGGTAGCCAGAGCAGGTTTATGGTTCATTGAAGAAGAGTCCCATGCTCTTTTCAAAAGAACCTCAATCTTCTTATCCATGGTGTCCTTCAAAACCCTCATGTCCTCGAAGGCTAAGTCAGATCTCTTGGATACCTTAGCTAACGGAGCATCCAGCTTTGGAGATTTATTCCACACCAAGGCTGGATCCTCATCAAAAGGAAACCTCTGCTTGAGATTTCCTGACTTCAGAGGCTTTCTCTCAGGCTCAGCCCACTCCTTGAGAATAGTCTCTGACAAAACCTTATGTACCGGGAAGCAGTTAGACTTTTTAAGCTGCAAACCCTTATACATAAGGTCGTGCCTGGATAACTGCACCTGCTCTTCCTGGATCTCTAAAGTGCTATAGATTGCAGTCAGTAATTCATCCACATCCTCTAAGGATAATTTATACCTGGAAGAGCTAGGTACATCGTCTCTGACACTCCCTTCTTCTGATGACGAACCACCATGAGAAGGACCAGGCTCGCTAAGATCCTCCTGCTCAGATAGCCGTAAGGATCCTGTCGGCCCACCCTGAGTAGAAAAGACAGAGGCAGAAAAAGGCACAGGGGTAGAAGCAACCGTGGGAACTGGAGCCCGGAACCCTTCTAAAATAGACCGGAAGGAATTAAATGTAGCAGGTTGCTACTGGCTGCAGCAGACTCTTCCCTAAGAAGACCCTCAATGCACTTCTGACATAGGGCCTTAACATAACCGGAGCTCAACTTCAACACAAAAACTGCACACTTTTTCTTTGGGGCCACCTTCGTTTTTTCTTTAGCCTGAAAGAAACCAAGGCTAAGCCATTTACCCACTGTCCCTCACTCAAAAAAGGGTTAGAGTGCCCCTCAACACCAAAGGACCCGAGGTGGAGGAAAATAAATTTCAGAGGTAACAGGGAGGTAAGACAGTACACATCTTCCATACCTGAGCCGTGCTGGTGCTTGGAAGACCGGTATCCGCAGTCACTGCAAGCTGCAAGGGTAACGCAGGATCCTTGTCAGCAGAGTCTTTCCCGCGCCGGAAGTGACGTACGCGGCCGTGGAACACTTTCCCGAGGCCCTGAGAACAGGACAGACCCCTCTGAACGGTGGTCCACCGATTCCCCTGACCTAGCCTAGGGGGTTTCGTCACTGGGCACTGAAGGGGGAAAGGAAGCCAGCCTCATCTCCTGACAGCGATAAGAGAATCCCTGGGGCTCACACAAGGTAGGTAATCCTACACCATCTGCCCTACATAGGCAGCCATTAACAAAAGGAGACTTCCCGGGCAGCATCACCACATGAAAGCCCCTCTCAGCGTTTTGTGACGCGCTCCCCAGCTTGACTGAGGAAACACAAAAGACTGAGGGAGTGGAGGAGAGGAGGGTCTTTTAAGGAGTTTAAGTGACGTGTTTCCTGTGTGTGGGGGAGGAGATTCCATCTTGTGATGCTGTCCTGGAAGACGTTATGGGAAATCTATATATATTTAAAGACATGTGCAAACAAATTGTGTTCAAATCGAAATCAAACTCAGACATAGTGATAGCAATAAAGTGCAAGTGCTAATCATGGTGTATTATAAGTGGATTTTTTCCTGTTTATTTTGCTTTTGAAACACACATGCTCTCAGAGATACTTTATAGCATCTCTTTTTCCTTTGTTCTATATATAACATACCCAGGTACATTTCTTTATATTTACCTTATCCTTCATCACTTACTTACAGCAGAAGCATGTGGTCCCTAATTTAATGCATGTGTATTGCTTTCTATCCAGGATACATAGTCCCCATCCCCCTGAAAAAGCCCAACAGGGCGAAACATGTTGGGGCTATTTCTTGAATGAAACAGGGACTTTTCTGATGATCTAATTTATTCGCGCTGCATAAATGAATTATTTTGATGACAATGTATTGTATGAACCACATGGAATATTTATGATGTATTAAGTGGAATTTTAACTAAAAATCACGTTACTCTAATAAATCCATTTTTATTTTTTATATATAACAAGAGAGCGGTCTGTATTTTTCGAAAGCCCCTCTACCTAGGGTCTTGGCATACCCCTACATAGATTTCTCTACTTACTCCAATATTTATTACTGGGGTGTGAAATCGCACTCTCCTACACACAAACAATTTGAAGTACACGCCCACTAAAGTTGTTTATAGAAGCAGAACTTAGGTCTGGATTTAGGGCTTGGGTGCAAAACCTGAACTAGTTACAGAAAAAAATTCATGTATTAAAAAATGTATTACCTTCACAAAATAACAGTGTTTTACAAGTATAAAGAATTACCTGTGTGAAGAGCTGTGCCCTTTGCACAAGCAACTATAGCTCCCATGCTAGGCTGAGAAGTCATCCCAGACATTGAATCAACAGCCACATCAACAATGTCAGCTCCAGCCTCTGCACAGGCCAGCATGGAGGCCACACCAGCCCCAGCTGTATCATGGGTATGTACATGGATTGGGATGTCTGGAAACTTGTCTCTGAGAGCTCGTATTAGCATATCTGAGGCTTTAGGTTTCAACAGTCCTGCCATATCCTAGAAAAGAGACAAATTTAGAATTAAAGTGAAAAACAATTAATGTATTAAGGATTAGCAAGCAAAGGGTAAACCCAATCCAACCCTATTACTAGTTCCCTATTATAAAAAAAAACAAAAAAACAGCCAAGGGTTTTAACTGTTCTACTCTATCCACAACTTAAAATATGTTGGCTTTAAATTCACTTTAATAACCTGCTTCTGTCGGTTAATTATGCAAATGATAGGACGCACCTGCTAAAATACCCCAATCACATTCTGTCCAAACAAGGTAATTCCTCAATATAAAAAATATCACTAGTAGTACCACTATAGCCAAAATGACAGCCAAATTAACAGTGTGAAGAATAATAATTGAATTCTCTTTTATTGGGGGATGCAGGATTCAGAGACATCTGGCTTATACTGCTGCCTTTAGGAGGATTTAGACACTAGCAAACAAACAAAAAAAACCTGTTGGGTATAAGCCCTCCCACTCTCAGCACCATTTTTACTAGCCATTTTTTCTGTTTTCAGGACTATTTGTTTCTTCAAACAATACTTCATCCACAAGCTGCTTGAGCCTGTCTCTTTATGCAGCTATCCAGATAGGTGTATCCTCAGCAATAGCTTTGGAGATTGTACCAGGACACTGCTGAACTGGACAATTGTGGGGGCTGCCTGGAATGTGACCTTCGGCCACTGGGCTCTGATTGTGATGCTTTCCAGACCTCTGTATGTGTCAATCAGTTGCAGACTACTTTGCAGGTCCAGAGATTCGTGGCACAGCCTGTAATGTAAACAAATTACAGGCTGTGCCACGAGGATGTGACACCTTTGAAGTCAATAAACATTGACTTTTCTACATGCTGGAGTGCTTGTGACCTTTTTTGTATTTATTGGACTTATTTTTGCGGAGGCATCCGTGGTCATTTCAGCACCCCACATATAATTTGGGTTTTCTATCCGGTCAGGAGTACGATGGGTGTGTATGTTTTTTGTACAGCCTGTAATGTGTCCCAGACTCAATTATGAGTAAGCTGTGTGGGTCAAGCACCAGAAGCTACTTCGTTTATTAGACCCATTGTGGACCATTATTATTCACTTTTTACTGCTGGTTCCATGGAAAGGGCTTACACACTGAAGAATTGAGTGCTTAGTTACCAGCTGGAGTTTGGCATGCATACATTACGCGTTCTTTTGAAGCCATTCAGGGAAGGTAACACCTTTCCGCCACTGCTCCTATATGCAAGAGACATATGGTTGCACCTCCAGCAGCCAGTTCATGAGAACTCAAGGTTTTAACTTGTATTACAGCTAAATTGTCACTGCTTGCAGTGCAACATATTGGATCTCAAACACAAGAGTAGCAATCCCGCTGTGACAGGTGCCTCAGGCTCACAATCTACTGTTCACATTCTGGGGGGTCTGCATTGTTCCCTTCTCATGAGCTTGACATTGACAGCCTGAAACATTGTTTCCTGCGTGAATCTTTACATTCCTCTGACCCCTCCTTGGCTCCATCAGGCGTGGCCCCTCATCAGCTTTAAATTGGGAGGTTTTCACCGCAGTTATACAGGATTTTATGAACCAAGCTGCACTTTTAATTATACAGGCTGTGCCACGAGGATGTGACACCTTTGAAGTCAATAAACATTGACTTTTCTACATGCTGGAGTGCTTGTGACCTTTTTTGTATTTATTGGACTTATTTTTGCGGAGGCATCCGTGGTCATTTCAGCACCCCACATATAATTTGGGTTTTCTATCCGGTCAGGAGTACGATGGGTGTGTATGTTTTTTGTACAGCCTGTAATGTGTCCCAGACTCAATTATGAGTAAGCTGTGTGGGTCAAGCACCAGAAGCTACTTCGTTTATTAGACCCATTGTGGACCATTATTATTCACTTTTTACTGCTGGTTCCATGGAAAGGGCTTACACACTGAAGAATTGAGTGCTTAGTTACCAGCTGGAGTTTGGCATGCATACATTACGCGTTCTTTTGAAGCCATTCAGGGAAGGTAACACCTTTCCGCCACTGCTCCTATATGCAAGAGACATATGGTTGCACCTCCAGCAGCCAGTTCATGAGAACTCAAGGTTTTAACTTGTATTACAGCTAAATTGTCACTGCTTGCAGTGCAACATATTGGATCTCAAACACAAGAGTAGCAATCCCGCTGTGACAGGTGCCTCAGGCTCACAATCTACTGTTCACATTCTGGGGGGTCTGCATTGTTCCCTTCTCATGAGCTTGACATTGACAGCCTGAAACATTGTTTCCTGCGTGAATCTTTACATTCCTCTGACCCCTCCTTGGCTCCATCAGGCGTGGCCCCTCATCAGCTTTAAATTGGGAGGTTTTCACCGCAGTTATACAGGATTTTATGAACCAAGCTGCACTTTTAATTGCTGAGTCTGACTGCAGACTGCAGTCTGCTCTATGTTGATCTCAATCACTGCCGCCATCGCCGCTGCTCGGTTTTAATACAAGTGATCTAATCATATCACTTGTATTAAACGAGCAGTGGCTCCTACTGTACATCTAGCTCTGCTATAGCAGGGCTAAATGTACAAAAAAGTACTCGCCCGACGCCCGAAACTGAATGTCTCGGGCGTCGGGATTCACTCCATAAGATGCAGGCACATTTTCCCACTCCTTTTGGGGGGGGGGGGGGGGGGGAGCAAAGGAAAAAAAACAAAAAACTTTTAACTTGACTCGCCCTGGAATTGAACCTAGGACCTTAGCAATGGCAAGCATGTGCTTTAAACACTACTCTATAGCCTCTGTACTGTAAGTATAGATGTCTGGCTTCCTAATGTCATTTTGCTGCACCGAAATTCGTCCACTAACGAATTTCGGGAAATCGGGAATTTCGGATTCGTTTGCATTCGTCTTAGCTGTAATTCGGATGCATCCGAATCTCCGAATTTCCGAAAATTCGTCCAAAACGAATTTCGGAACGAACCGAATCGCACATGTCTACTAAATAAATAAACGCAATAAATCCAGCTCTACTCCACACATGTGAAGTGATTAGAATACATGCCAACAGCCTTGTGTCTATTGTCTAAATGGGTTAGTGAATGTTCCCCTATGAGTCTCCTATCAGTTAACAAGAGTAGAACTCTTTAGCTGAAATGTTGGGTTGCACAGCAGGCATTTAAGAAGTGTTTACTGTGCATGCTCTTTGAGAGTCAAAGGGGGGAATTTATCAACTTGGTCACATCATCAGCGTCTTTTAAACTGTTGTATCCCTGATTTCTAGTGCATGTAGTGACAGATTTATTATCATAGTGTGTGTTTAGTTCCTAAAGGCCTTCATAAGGAGAATTGTCTCAAAATGTTATCTGTCTCTAAATTGTTGCAAACTTGCTTGGAACCTCCTGGATGGCAGGTGAATAGTCCCAAAGTGCTCAGCTGACTTGAGGATGGTCGCTGGTTAAATTATCGCTTCGGCCTCATCTTGAGTATGTGGTGCCGCTCTCGTTGCCAACTCTCAGGAAAGATTTCCTCGAGCTGGAGAGAGTTCAGCGAAGGGCTACAAAATTAGAGGGTTAGAAGGTCTGAGTTATGAAGACCGCCTTCATAATTTCAACTTATTCAAAATCAACAATAGGGACCACAATACTCGGAACAAACTACTCTATCAGAAAACTGTATTATGAACCCGGGGACACAACATGAGGTTAGAAGAGAGAGGGTTAAATCTTAGGTTGTGTAGGGGTTCTTTTTTACTGTGAGAGTAGTGAAATTGTGGAATTCCCATCCACAGGCAGTGGTATCTGCTGAGAGCATTGATAAATTCAAGAAACCCCTTGATGAGTTTCTTCTTTCACCTAATTTACAGGGATATGGGAAGTGGTAGAGTAAGATAAATACAGATGTAAGAAATCCTAAGGCTCATATTAAAATTGATTCTTAAGAAGGTGTAACTTGGGGCGTGGCCTAAACATGGTGGCGAGCAGACGTGGGTAAGGAGAGCTCCATAGAGAGAAGAAGCGTTTATTACAGTTGACCGTACCAGACCCCACTGCACCCTATGTCTAGGGGGAATAAGAAGTCGCGGACCCCCCGCGCACCCCCCGCCCCCGTGTGCAAGCCCGACTAGACTCTTTCCTATCCCAACCCGCGGCGAGCACTAGAGCTCGGGGCCTAGCTGCACGGCCCGCGAGAGTTCAGCCACCCACGCGGCCCTGTGTAGTGCCGACACCATCCCCTACGATCGGGCACCGGGACTCAGTGGAGCCAGAGGCATCAGTCCGGATGGACCCCCCCGCTTCCCCCGCAGTATCCCTACCCGATCCGATGCTGGAGCTGGCGGCCCTGTTCTCGCCGGAAGCACCGCTGACGGCCGGAGGCTCGGGCCTGACGGACGCTGCAGACCTGCGCGCTATACTGGCGGCGCTGCCGACGAAAGAAGACATGCAGGCCATGATCTCACAGTTGACGTCCTCACTGCGCTCAGATCTGGCTGAAGTCAGAGCCGGGGTTACACAGCACGCCACCCGCATAGAGGCCCTTGAGGAGGCAGATCATGCTATGGATTACCGGGTCTCCCTCCTGGAAGCATCCCTCGCACAGCAGAGGGCCCAAATCACTCAATTCCAACTCCGGTTGGAGGACTCTGAAAATCGTAACCGCCGCAATAACCTGCGGTTACGGGGGATTCCGGAGGCCACTGGTGGGGCAGATCTCAGGGCAGCAGTTGCCGCCATTTTTAATGGCCTCCTAGATAAGCCCCCAACGGCTGAGATTGAACTTGACAGGGTGCACAGGTGCTGACCCAAATAGGCCCAGAGACGTCCTCTGTCGAGTGCATTTCTTCAACATCAAGGAGGAGATCCTGCGCAGAGCGTGGAGGCAGGGCTCAGTTGACTTTGATGGGGCAGATGTCCAGATCCTGCCAGATGTATGCCCTCAAACGCTGTACCGCAGGCGCCTCCTTAAACTGCTCACCGACCTACTACAATCAAGAAGGATCACCTATCGTTGGCGCTTCCCATTCTCCATGATAAT